ACACTGTCCAAAATTTCTTACTCCATGTTAAAGCAGGTCTGTAAAGACATCTTCTTCCTGCCAAATCTCAGACATGTTATCTTTGTTAAACATAAAAGCAGTATTGTTGGAATGTGTCAGTTTGTCTAGAGGGCATTAGAATCATATACTTTTTTTACTTTTAAAAATCCCACATTGCTGTGGATATTTTGTTAATTTTCCTCTGTCCATTTCCACCTAACTGTTTTTAAAATGTACAACTGAATTAAATTATTATTATTATTATTATTCTGCTACAAAAACACAGTATGACACAGCAAACGAGATGTATATGCTGGATTTCATATCACGAAATCACAATTTGAACACTTCCCAAGTGTTTCGGACTGTGTGATGTATTTTCGAATTATGCGCACAGATCCAAGTAAGGTGGCCTTTTGCAGTTGACAGATTGTTATTTTCTCAACATGTATTGTTTCCAAATGCTGGCTGAAATCTTTTGGCATGGCACCCAGTGTGCCAATTGCCACTGGTACCACCTGTACTGGCTTATTCCAGAGTCTTTGCAATTTGATTCTGAGGCCCTGATAATGGCTGAGGTTTTCCTGTTGTTTTTCCTGCTTCTTTGTCCTTTGAGAAGATCTGATTATTGACTTCAATTAAAGCAGGTTCTTGGCTTTCTTTTACATATTCTGCCAGGGCATGTTTTTCTTCTTCAACTGCTTGTTTTACTTGTCAAAATCACTGCGAGGATGCAGTGAATCATGAATGGTCATGAGGTTTTTTTGTTCTTCTGTCCAAATTGTCCAGTTCTCCCTGCATCCAGTTTATAATGCCAGCAGTATATCTTATGTCGGGTATGGCCCAGGTGTTTATGGCCTTGATGGTATTGCCTCCATTGAGCTTGCTTTTGAGAATTTTTCTGACTCTTTGAGTGTATTCTTTGCTTTCTTATTATTGCATTGCATTATATTCTTGTTCTTTTTCTTCTTATTATTTTAAAGATAGGACCCAAGTCAGCCCAAAAAACAATCAATTAACAATATTCACAATGTAATTTAAAACAACATGAAATAGTTCAAAACATTTTTAAAAACAAACACAAGTCTAAAAAGATGAATAGTTATGCTATATCTTGGATTCATTCTATGGATTAAACAATAGGTAACATTACATGTATAGTGTGCACTTATAGTTGTCTTTTTTACTTGCAAATAGATGAGTCCTGCTTCATATTCAGAAGGATTCAAACTGCTAGACTTCCAAGTATACCTAGCACTTAAAGATCTGTTGAAGTGCATTTACACTGTAGAATTAATGCAGATTGACATGATTTTAACTGCCATGGCCCAATGCTGCGGAATTCCAGTATTTGAAGCTTGATGAAACACCAGCAATCTTTGGCAGAAAAGGCAAAAGACCTTGTAAAACAACAACTCCCATATCCCAAAGCATTAAGCAATGGCAGTAAAAGCCATGTCAAACTATATTAATTCCACAGTTACAGTGGTCCCCAACCTTTTTTCGACCAGGGACCACATAACCAGGGACCACTTTGGCCAGGAACCACTTGACCAGGGACTACTTGACCACGGAGCACTTTGATCCGGGACCAGTCTCCAACATTAGTACCAAAAGGGTTATGAATTAGTTTTGGTCAACTTTTGATTGCTTTGGATTGCTGATTCAGAAAAATGCATTGGATAGACCCATTGGTTCATTAAAAGGAGACAAAATTAACTTGGATCCAATACAGTTCCCCCTTCCTCCTTTAAAACTCATGTGGAGAGGATAGTAAAGAGGCACATCATATCCAGACCTGATAAGGCATTTACATTCTTACTTTCTCCCTGCACTGAATTCAAGGTGGCTTATAGGATAGTAACTTTTTGAGCAATACTATGCAATTCATATAGGTTTAACCATAAAGACAACAATATAATCACACTGGAGAGAGAAAGAGAGAGCGAGAGAGAGAGTGTTACAGAAAGCCAAAACTTATATCACTGGTCTGCCGATACATGTTGCAAACAATACAGCACATGAGATTAAGGGAATGATGTGTGACTTTCCAGACAAAGTTCTAAAATCAGCTGACTGATATGGACAAAATACCATTTGTTTTGTTCTCACACTGAGAGCATGTGTGTCTCTGCTGACCAATACTCATACTTCTTTCCTGAGAAATGAGAATTTTGATATTGGCAAACTCTGTTCTTCAGAGATGCTGAGTCGGTGGAGAAAGTAATTGCATTTGGAGTATTGGGAAAAGTTGGGAGTTCCTGAAGTTCATTCAAAGGCAATTAGAAAAAATCTAATCAAAAAGTTAAGCAAGGATGCCTAGAAGCATAATGGTTTATATATAGACTTCAGATGAAAAGCTGAACCCATCAGGCCCTAAGAAGTTAGAAACATTAATCAGTTTTTGGACTGAACCATGTTGTGGATATATTACTCTAGGTATACGATAAAGAAATACTGAAAGTTAAACTTTTTATTAAATAATGAGAAGTAGCATCAAAGCTAAAAGAATCTTAAAAAATCAGATGGGATGTTGATAGAGCATCTGCGAGCAACTGAACAAAAACAGCAGACTGAACTGGAGTACTAGGTGACAGAGTGAAACCATTCATCTTAACCATGAAGTCATTACACAATTCTGTTGTTTGTTCTTGCCTTCTGACAAGCTTCAAAACTAAAACAAATGCATTCCAGGCAACTGTGGCCTGACAAATGTAGGTATAATAAAGTAACACTGGGATTTAAGCCATAGAAAATGAATTGAACCATGTTGATTCATGAGCTTGTCATCAATGAGTTCAGAAACTTTCAGTGACTGTAAATCATTTATGCTATATCTGAATAAGTTTCAAAAACTAAAGTGTTTCAGATGCTCTGCCTCCAATATCCCCTACATGGCTGATAAAAACACAAAGACACAGAAAGACATAGAGATTGCAGACCTACTTTCAGGACCATTCCACAATTGCTATAATATAAAAACTTAATTTAGTTCTCAAACACCATGATTAATGGAAACTAAAGGTGTCATATTGTATCATATCTACCCTTTCTTGTCAGTGTAATAAAGATTTTATGGAAGTGGGCTATTGCTTGAAAAAAGTGAAAAATTAAAATAAATTTCTGTTGCGCAGATCACTTCAACAGCAGATTGATATATGAATCCTGCATTGGATTATGAATGGAAGCATGGGTATTGTTTATAACTGAAGTATACCCAACACTGTCCAGGTCCTTATCAAATACACCAAAAGGGGTACATGTAGCTTTCTGCTGTATTGTTTGCCATTTTTGATCTCAGGAAACTTCAGAAAGTCCTCTTCTGTGATTTCACACTTTCTTTAAGCTAATCTTATCAATATTGACATAGTTTTTTCTTTATTTTACTGGGTTTTTTCTTTCTTCACAGTCTTAACAAAAATGCCTTTACTGGTCTCTAGAGCCTTTCCACAACCCACAATTATAGCACTATGATTCCACTTTAACTATCATGGTTGTGGTTTAAGGATGGGAATTTAGAATTCTTTGCCACAGAGCTCAAGTGCCTCCCAGGATTCTATAGGATAAAGCCATGGCTATTGAAGTGAACTAACAGCTCTATAATTGCAGATTGTGAAAAAGCTTCTACTAGTCCTTCTTAAAATCATTTCCTGGTGAGTTTTGACTTGAACTGGCCAACAAAATTAAAAACCATTTTGTCAAATTTTGAGACATCTATTATGGTTTCCCCATAAATGATGGGTGCCCTTCATTGCACTGGAATTGTGGTGCAGCTGGCTGAGTGTCAGCTGCATTAAGATCACTCTGACCAAAAGGTCATGAGTTCGAAGCCAGCCCGGGTTGGAGTGGGCTTCCAACCAATTGTGTAGCCTGTTGTCGACCTTTGCAACCCGAAAGACAGTTGCATCTGTCAAGTAGGAAAATTAGGTACCACCTTGTGTGGGGAGGCTAAATTAACTAATTTATGAGGCCATAAAGATCCAACCAGTCCATCCTCCAGGAAATAAAGCCCGACTGCTCACTGGAGGGAAGGATACTAGAGACAAAGTTGAAGTACTTTGGCCACATCATGAGGGGACAGGAAAGCCTAGAGAAGACAATTATGCTGGGGAAAGTGGAAGGCAAAAGGAAGAGGGGCCGACCAAGGGCAAGATGGATGGATGGCATCCTTGAAGTGACTGGACTGACCTTGAAGGAGCTGGGGGTGGTAACGGCCGACAGGGAGCTCTGGCGTGGGCTGGTCCATGAGGTCACGAAGAGTCGGAGACGACTGAACAAATGAACAACAACGAGGCCATAAAAAAGACTCCACCAAAGCACTCCAGCAAAAGCATGCGGGGAATGCGGAAGTACTTCATCAGTGTCGCAGATGGACAATGAAAGCAACAGCTCCCTTGGCGGCCAGAAAAAGTTAAATAGCCTCTGTGTATGTCTATATACGTTGTATGTCTAATTGGCATTGAATGTTTGCCATATATGTGTACACTGTAATCAGCCCTGAGTCCCCTGCGGGGTGAGAAGGGCGGAATATAAAAGCTGTAAATAAATAAATAAGTAAATAAATAAATAAATTCAGTCCTGCTGGTACATAAAAATGTTTCTCTGATCCTACCCATTTCATTTTGTTTCTGTCTAGCTCACCATTTGAAATTGTAATTGATTGATTTATTTATTTTACAGCATTTATACTCTGCCCTTCTCACCCAAAGGGGACTCAGAACACAAATACAGCAAACATTCAATGCCGATTTTACAATAATCAAGGACACACAACAGAAAAGACACACAACACAAACAGAAGTAAAGGCAGTTTTTCCCATCTTATTTCTGCTATCTTGGAGGCTGTGCTCAATTCCGGCCAGGGAGGGGGGGATGCTGTTGCTCCATCTTTCATACTGAGGAGCTTTCCTCCGGTTGATGTCCTTAAGGGCGCCCTTATTACCTCCCTGCTAAAAGCGATACCTATTTTATCTACTCGCATTTCTGCTTTCAACCTGCTAGGTGGGCAGGTAAACTGGGGGTAACGGCGGGTACTCACCCTGACCCGGCTTGAACTGCTCGAACAGCTGACCTTCCAATCTGCAGGATTTTTCTGCAACACAGCAGTTTAGCCAGCACAGTAAGTATTTATTTATCTATCTAATTGTTTTACAACTATGCACTGCATCCCAGTAAAAAAGCCGATTTTTGAGGCATTCATCATGATTTCCAGATGAGTTACGTCTTTTCTTCTTTTTTTCTTCTAGTAATCACTCTCTTTTCTCCATCTGAAACTGCATCTTGGATAACAACCATAAACATTCTATCAAATTTGGGGCTGTCTAGCACAATGTCCTGATAACTGCTACAGAAAGCAACGTGGACATGTTCTTCTTTTATTACCAATGTATTGCATGTCCTGCTATTTTACCCAAAATCTTGGGTCCAAGCCACAGTGAAGGATAAACCAATCTTATCCATAGTTACTTAAAGGGATTTACTCATAAATGAGTAGTATTTGTAAATAAGATTGCAGTTCAAAGAAATATGTGCTTATCTAAACAACAGTTTAGGAGATCATTCCAACAATTGAGAACATCTGAAGTTTGATGGACTTGCCTCAGTCTATACTTTCTTGATTGTTTGCAAACTGGACACATTTTGCATTCTGGACATCTTTATATTGGCAGATGGCTTTGAGGATGTCCCAAAATTAAAAGTACATTTTTTTAAAAACCTGCATAGAAACTACACACATTTGAAATGAACAACAAAATGCTTTAGGGGCAGGATGTGCTCGTGCAAAATGTCCAACCTAAACAATGCAGATTAACATGTAAAAATAAATAAAACATCAAAATCTTGTCGTGTTAAAAGAAAAAAATGGAGGTGGGGTGAATGGATGGATGAAGTGTGAAAATAGGGATTAGCACAGATTAACTCTAGCCTAAATTATATTTAATAGGCATATTGAACTGTTGAATGATGGATCAAAACACAATTAAACTCATTGATTCAGGATGTTCACTCTAGTTGGGACTAAGGGTACATCCACACTGCAGAATTAATGCAGTTTGACACTACATGGCTCAATGCTATAGAATCATGTGAGTTTTTCAAGATCTGTAGCCTTCTCTGCTAAAGAGTACTGATGCCTCAGCAAACCATAAATTCCAGAATTCCATAGCCTTTGGCCATAACAGTCAAGTGGTGTGAAACGGGAATAATTCTAAAATGTAGATACACTCTCTGTTATAATATTAAAGCCTTTATGCGAACATCTTTGTCTAACTTGAAAATGATCTATCACTGATGTTCAAATATTCTGTTAGAAAATTTTAATGACTGAGAGACCCAAATGAAGTTTAGAAGTTATTTTCTTTACAAACTGTTCATTATTAATGAGTTCATTACCGATGGGGCAGTGGATTAAACCTTTGTGCCAGCAGGACTGAAGACTGGCAGGCCAGAGGTTTGAATCCAAGGCGAACATGGATTAGCTCCCTCTGTCATCTCCAGCTCCCCGTGCGGGAACATGAGAGAAGCCTCCCACAATGATGATAAAACATCAAAACATCTGGCTGTTCCCTGGGCAACGTCCTTGCAGACAGCCAATTATCTCACACCAAGAGCGACTTGCAGTTTCTCAAGTCACTCCTGACATGGAAAAAAATCAGTTCTTACAAGGAGTGAGGCATGATGTTAACACAAAAATGAGACTCAAACAGTATATACAATTCCATTTTAGCAACAAAAATATTGTCGACATATTTTATAAGGGAATAAATGAGTCGTGCCTTAAGGCCCAGAACTTTGTCTTAATTCCCAGGAAATATACTGTCTCATCTTAGTATTTTATTGAAACAAAAGCAAGCTCGGTTACCTGGTACCACTGATACATATCTAGCATTGTCATGATGCAGATGGCCTGTTATTGATTCTCAGCCAAATTAGGATGTTTTTCATTTCATGGTTGAATCAGTACCATGTGATCCTTGTGGTGAAAGGAAACTGCATGTCTACAGGGAAGATGAAAACTGTTTTATGACAAAGCCAGTTAAATCAAGATTGCTCCTTTTTGACACACTTCTAATTATGATATAAAAAGGAGGATCAATTGGTATGAGATCTTTTTGTTGTGATAATAAAGAAATTGATGTAAGGGCAGTGGGAGGACAAAAACATTTCCTTTTATATACATTTGTATATTTTAAAAATCCCCTCTTTCAGTTTCATGAGAGGTGCCAGGGAAAGACAGGCACAAAACCAGCTTTTTTCTTATCAGGGCCAACCCAATACTTTTGTGCTACCCAGAGTAAAGAATAATATGGTCTTTTTCGCAGTTTCACATGCAGAGTGACAAGCGAATAATCCTGCAGCACTGATAATAGGACAGCTTCTTCTACTGGAGACTGCCTCAAATACATAAAATACTATGCTTGTGCAACCCAGGTAAACCTTGGCCCATTTCGTGTCCTGACTTTTGGTGGAGGGTCTGGTCTATCTTTGGGAGCCTCCCAAAATCAGGAGGGCAGATATCTATTCTCGCTCTGGGGTGCCAAAAGATCTGTTTTTTTATCAGCTCATTATTGCTGGGGGCGGGGGCTTCTCAAGCTCCCCTTCACATCATTTTAGGCATTTAAGCTGTTTTTTCTCTCTAGAAGAGAGGTGCTCAGCTGCAGACAGGTGCACACTTTAAGGAGGCTTATTACCTGTGTCTCTACTCTACAGGAGAGGTGCTTGGTGCAGGCAGGTGCATGTGCTTTCTCGGCTTGCCATGCCACACGCACACTCTTTCCAAGGCACAGAGGCAAGTTCTGTTTCTTACTGCAGAGGAGGTGCTTGGCTGCAGGCAGATGCACATGCTTTCTGGGTCTGCACAGCATGCACACACTCTTTCCAAGGCAAGGTGGCAAATTCTATTTCTTATTCTAGAGGAGGAGCTTGGCTGCAGGCAGACTTGCGAGCTTTCTGGGTCTGCACACCACACACACATTTTTTCCAAAGTAAGGAGGCAAGTTCTGTTCCTTACTCTAGAGGAGATGCTTGGTTGCAGGCAGGCACATGTGCTTTCTGGGCCTGCCCACCAGACACACACTCCAAGGCAAGGAGGCAAGTTCTATTTCTTACTCTTGAGGAGGTGCTTGGGTGCAGGCAGGCATGCATGCTTTTGGAGGCCCTGGGCATGCACGCCACACATGCACTCTTTCCAAGGTAAGGAGGATGCACACAAAAAGCTGGTGAGGAGCCGGGATCGGTTCCCACTTGCTTTCGTGTTGAGCTAATTTTTGTACCAGGAAGGGGCTTCCCGTTATGTGCTCCTGAAGGTAACGAAAGTATTGAAATAACAGATATAACGAAGGAAAACAGATCTGCGAACAACTCTATAAAATAGAATAGAGTAATAGTAGAGTAAATTACCTTTCTGCAAAATAGATGTTTCTCTTTGATAGGGTTTACAGTTTAAGATACAAGATAAATTGGAGTAAGCAAAAGAGGAAGAGTATAAGAAAAAAGTAAACCCTCTCCCTTTGCTCCTTTCCACAGCCCTTGGTGAGCTGCTTCCAAAGAATTCAATTTCCATGATGAAGCCAGGTGAAGCGAGGTGCTTAGCCTGGCTAATATGATGCGGCCCCTGATCTACTTCCCATTCACCAACTAAGAAGTGTGTGAGAGAGGGCAGTGAAGGTTTGTACAAAATAGTTGGCTGATCTAGGGATTCCATTTATTCATATTTTCCCCAGTATGTGAAGTTTTTATACTAGTGTAAAGTTTCAACAAATTTCCAGCCAAAGTAACTAAAATTTTATATCTAACTGATGAACCCAAGTCCCCATTAGTCTTCATATAGTCAACATGACCAGGTATTGATGCATCAACATATCCACCCTACCTCTTCAATGGTTGAAATAAACAATTGAATGAGAAATGGAAGAAACACATTGTTTGGATAATCTCAAAGAAACCATTCTTAAGATAATATGAATATATGGACATCTCATCTGCTCTGTAAATCTAAATAATCTTCATCTATCTGTAATAACATTAAAACATAGCCAGTCACCTTTAAGCCCTTAGAAAAGCCTGAAAAAATATTCCCCACACTGAACTCATTCAGTTGTGATGTGAATCATACCATATATGGCATTGCATTATTTGGAGACATGAAAAAGTTTCACGAGGTGTAGAAGAGAAGAATATTGGAGGAAGGTGAGGGGGAAAAGATGAAAGAGTAGCTGCTCAAAGTTTGCCAAAGTAAACAGAAACATTGATGTGTATTTTTTCATAAAAAGTTAAAAGGAGAGGAAAAAATGATTTCGTGCTCCTATGTTTATTCCTCAGTTGGGATCTCATTAAATCAACCGATTTTCCTTTTATAGCCCTTGCTCTGGGCACGTGATCAAATTGGACCAGAATATTTAATATGCAAGAAAACTAAACTATATTTTTATGAAATACAATTAAATGATTAGTGCTTTTATGGTTCCTTGGATTTCTTAAGTTGCAGTGCCTAAAACTGACATAAGCCTGACAAAGGAGAAGTCAAGATTGCACTAGTTTCTCTGCTTACTTGGGATCTAGACATTACTTTGGACTTTTATACCACCCATGACCACCCAGTTCATATACTCATGGAGAAGAGTATGCCTACTTCCACCCTCTGATTCAGAATTTCACAATTTGCATGTATTTCTTTATAAAGATTTTCAAAAAAAAAGAGAATAAAATAAAATAAAAAACAGTTAAGGGCCAAAAAAATAAATAAAGGAAAGCTGCAATGAATTCCAGCTTTTTTTACGGTGATTATAAATCTTAATAAAGAAAATCTAACTTATCCAGCTAACTCCAAATACTTCTTCTACTAATTCAAATCAACTAATTATCCAAACCTACCGTTATCATAATTTTTTCTGCAAAAAGAGAGAAAGATATCTATGAAAATCATCTAGGATATTTACATTAAAAGTTCTTATTTATTTTCCCTCTTGTCTCTTTATTACTTCTCTTTCCTTTCCTTTTCTCAACTTGTACACCACATCCCTCCTCAGTCATGGAAACCTAACCTTGAAGAAGCCAGACTTGGAGAAAGGCAATGGAAAACCTTCTCTGAACAAATCTTGGCTAGAAAACCCCACAATAGTTTTGTCTTATAGTTGTTGATACATTGGAAATGAAGTCAAACAACAACAACATCCATATGGCAGGTGCATGTGGCAGACTAGCATGAATGGCATCAAAGCCACGTATGCAGGAAATTATATTAATACTGACATTAGTTCTTACTTTTCTAGAAAAGATTTTCTTTGTAGATATAGAATTAGTTGCCTCTGGTTCAATGAAAGTACAGTGTTCCAGTCACTCAATCTTATGGGTACACACAGACCAGGTCTAGATAGACCAGGTCTATGGGCAGTTCTACACGGGCATTATAACACAGTTCAAAGATGGCTTGAGAGCAGGATGTCCACAACACATACATCCCAAAGCATTCTGCAGCATGCATCAAGCCAGAAACATCACATTAAAAAACTCACCACAAAGTCCAGAACAAAATAGATAATGTGCTTCAGCTGATCCCATGCAGAGTTCAAAACCAGGGTGATCCTCAATGGACATATGCAATCGCACATCTCAGTGGACTGCATTTTCTAGTCGCTATCTAGCTAACAAATACAGTAGAGTCTCACTTATCCATCATAAATGGGCCAGCAGAACATTGGATAAGCAAAAACATTGGATAATAAGGAGGAATTAAGGGAAAGTCTATTAAATGTCAAATTACATTATGATTTTACAAATTAAGCACCAAAACATCATGTTTTACAACACATCGCCAGAAAAAGCAGTTCAATATACAGTAACATTATGTAGTAATTATGATATTTACGAATTTAGCACCAAAACATCACAATGTATTGAAACAGCTGTGGATCCGGGTGGAAGGCAGACTGTGTTGGATAATACAGAAAGTTGGATGAGCGAAGGTTGGATAAGTGAGATTCTACTGTACTATGATTCCAGGGTTCAGTGCCAATCTGCAATCAGTGGATGAGGTGGCCTCTGCACCACATTAAACCAACTCCTGGGGAAATTGTGTAGGTGCTCCACAGTGGCACCAGCTCCTTTTAATCCACTTCCAATTTGGATTATAGTTTCTGTGTGGAACTGCCTAAGTGTATTCATAGTTTTTCCGTCAGATTTAATCACATTTGTGGCTTCTTTTGTCATTGAATTTAATCGACTCAAGATGACACCTGGTGGGGTTTAGTGGTTTGAGCACTGGACAACAATTGGAGGCCAGTGTTCAGCTTGCTTACTGAAAAGTTGCAGTTTGAATTAGGGGAGCAGCGTGAGCTCCCACTGCTAGCCCCAGCTTCTGCCAACCTAGCAGTTCGAAAACATGCAAATATTAGTAGATCGATAGGTACTGCTCTGGTGTGAAGGTAACGGTGCTCCATGTAGTCATGCCAGCCACATGACCTTGGAGGTGTCTACGAACAACACTCCATTTCGGCTTAGAAATGGAGATGAGCACCAACCGCCAGAGTTGGACATGACTGGACTTACTGTCAGGGGAAAACCTTTACCTTACCTCCAAATTTCTAGCATTGCAGCACCTCAGTTGGCATTTATAATCACAATTTAGGCATCCAAAGAAAGGGGGGAGGCAAGATGAGTACAGCTCCATCTACAATGCCATGTAAAGCAGTTTCAAACTGCATTATATGACAGTATAGATGGGGCCCAAGGGAATGTGAACATAGTAAATATACGATGATGTGGTGTGAAATATTTTTAGTGGTTCCCTCTCCACAATGCTATAAAATTGTGGATTAAACGGGCAAATTGGGGTGGGGGAGAGAGAGAGAGAGCACATTCATATTTCATTTTGGCTTCTCCCATAGCTCCATCCCAGGGAGCAGGATTTTCATTCATTACAAGTTGGGGAGAGTGTAAAAGGTAAGGAGGCAGATAAGGGGGTCTACAATAAAAGGTATATTGCTTCCTCCCTTCGCCAGTGGCACGGGTATAGATCACGGCATTCAAGTCACAATTACAGGAATGGTTCTTGTCTCCAGCCAGCCCTAGAGCACATTCCGCCATAGCTGTCTCAGTCTGAGATTATTTCCACTCTTTCCTATCTTCCAATACATCTTAGGGTTTATCAGTGTAATTCCAAGCTTCATTCTTTATCATATATTGCTATACCAGTGTTTCCTCTAGGAAAACAATCAAGGACACAAAAACACTTGATTTCTTCAATATTTCTCAGACTTCATCCCATGAGAAGAGTACAAAACAAAGATGATACTTCTTTAAAATGTCAAGTTTCTTATCTAAGGCCATCTCTGCCTTGTATGTCATTCTCATAAAAACTGGCTTGAAAAAATTGAAGCACCCCTTATTATTGTAAACACTGTTCTTATAAATCCTCACCTGCCTCTGTTCCTTAGAAAGTCAACAGGTTTGACCTACTTCGAAAGGGCCACTGTTCCTGGAAATGTCATGCTGTTCTGTCAAGATGGAAGAAATAATTAGCAATTCCCATTATTGGCAAAAGTGAAGGCACACCGACCCTAAACTTATTTGTTTGTAGATTGGTCAACTTCATCCCCTAGAAAGCCTTATCAAAGCTGTAAAAGGCAGTCAGTTCTAACTATGGACAATAGCAGTTTGTAAATATCCCATGCCAGTTAATGGGAGATTAAAAAAAATCTCACTTCCGATTCATTTGAATTAGATTGGCTAATTCAATACTTTTCTAATATTCTTCTAAATAATGTATCTCTGATTTTTTAAATTAAATCTTAGAGATCACATATTTCCAAGGCATCTAGGCACAAAATCAGGAATATTAATCAAAATCAATAGTCCCTGCTTATTTATCATATCAGGAGCAAACCAAGGGTATTGTACTTAAAAACACACAAACACACACACAAACTTTGAAAACTTAACATTATATCAAATGTCCTTTGTCCAGTAGCTGGCCACTTGGAGTGCCTCTGGTGTTGCTATAAGAAGGTCCTCCATTGTGCATGTGGTAGGGCTCAGGCTGCATTGTAATAAGTGGTCTGTGGTTTGCTCTTCTCTGCACTCGCATGTCATGGACTCCACTTTGTAGCCCCATTTCTTAAGGTTGGCTCTGCATCTCGTGGTGCCAGAGCACAGTCTGTTCAGTGCCTTCCAAGTCGCCCAGTTTTCTGTGTGCCCAGGAGGGAGTCTCTCATTTGGTATCAGCTACTGATTAAGGTTCTGGGTTTTAGCCTGTCAGTTTTGGACTTTCACTTGCTGAGGTTTCTGCGAGTGTCTCTGTAGATCTTAGAAAACTATTTCTTTATTTAAGTCATTGGTGTGCTGGCTGATATCCGAAGTAGGGATGGGCCGGAAATCTCACTGTCTTGGTCCTTTTATTACAATCTGCTACTTCCCAGTGGATGTCAGGTGGTACAATACTGGATAAACAGTGTAATTTCTCCAGTGGTATAGGGCGCAGACATCCTGTGATAATGTGGCATGTTTCATTAAGAGCCACATCCACTGTTTTAGTGTGGTGAGATGTGTTCCACACTGGGCATGCGTACTCAGCAGCAGAGTAGCAAAATGCAAGGGCAGATGTCTTCACTGTATCTGGTTGTGGTCCCCAGGGGGACATGAGAGAAGCCTCCCTGCAGGATTGCAAGACA